CTTTTGCGTAAACGATTCTGAGACCAAAGACGTAGTGTTTTCTTGATCCCCCGTCCTGTACGATTTGCAGATAAGGTGGTGGTTTTATTGTTGAGGCAAAATAGGAGGAAGTGAATGAGCCAGCGGCGTTTTCCATGAACTATCCTGAATGTTGTGAATAGGCAGAGTTGAGTCTTAAGACGAAGTTGTTCTTGTTCAAGTTGATTTTCATTCCAGTACTTGCTTGTGTTTGTAAGTCGTCGATTGTTTTTGAAAAACTGCGATCGCGGGGTCTAGCGGCTGAAATGGGCTTTCTGAGGCGAATCGCTAAGCTGATACATCTCTGCAGAGTTAGATTCCATAGATTTTAGGTGCTGCTGCTATAGATTGAGAAGTCACTAATTGCGTTGGTTTTGACAGGTTTCATTAATGCTTCCAGAAAGGAAGGCGAAACAGCTACTACTTTCTCGGCGACCACCCGATGGTTCCGAGGAATGTCAAGAATGACCTGAGGCAATTGCCTTGTCTAACGGCGCTGCTCCAGATTCAGGTTATCTTCTGTCGAAGTTCAGAGGCATTGTCTGCCGCTGGAATGCATGAGCGGCTATTGAAACTGACTGTCTGACAGAACTTATTTGTTTGATATTATTTTTTATGCAGTCTCATTTACTACAGAGAAATGCACAGTCGAAACATTTCTAGCGTTTGAAAATCATGCATCGCCAGATCTAATCGAGTCGAATCGAAATAGTGATACGGACAAAGTTGAATTCACAAAGAAAGGTAAATTTGCTGTTTTTATCTCCTCTTTGAAAAATCCAGTTCAGGATAGTCTAACTGCTGTAAAATTCAGTTATAAGATGTGAGAGTTACTGTTTTCATGTTGAGACGTAAATCTCTTCCAATATCTTTAATAGCCTGCACTTTAAAATATGGAGCTTATGACACTATACTGAGCCAGAATTTCAGTGAGAAGTTATAGAGTGGTCGAACCCGTTTTTGAATGAATCTCAATGTAAGTCACGCGCGAGCAAACCAACAGAAGAGATGTGAAAAGTGGCTTTGTTGTTTACGTGGAAAGTTTTATGCCTTTCTATGTTTCTTACAGTTTTAAAATCTGTTAGTGAAATGCAAGGTTGTTTTGCATGTCGTTGTGCAAAATTGACAAAAATGGTTATGCTGGTTCATTGCGCTGGCGTGTTTTAAACTCCCGCTGAACTGATAATTAGATTAAGATTTTCTGTTGATTACGATCACACCAACAGTGCCTTAAATTTGAGGAAACACAGTTGCAAACTTCCTAATGATAGTGGCTTTTAACATTCATACCGAACGTCAGTTCTTGGCTGGTGTTGCAGCTTTATCTTACCTATGTATTGCGAATCCAATGGCGAAGTTATTAGCACCGTAAACGTTAAGCTTTGTTCCCCGATCTCGACTTAAAGTCGCATGGTATATAAAATTGCTTTTCTTTGGTCATCCTTGCTGGTTTCTTCAACACAATTTAATACTGCCGTTACAGTTCACCAGTACATTTTAAGCTTACCCAAGTAACTGACAGACTTATGCATTGTTCCGATCTCGTATTTACCTGTGCGAATTACCCTATATATCGATTCCACTGCTTTGCGGTTATGTATTCGTAACGTAGATTTTAACGTTATAGTGATTTAGAAAAGTGTTCCGCGGAAACCCTTGTGACAAACGAAAACGCTTTCGCTGACGCCGATGAATCTTATCAAGATGCTGATGAGAATAATGTAGATTTGAAGGAAGAAGGTAAATCATTGACCTTTTTTAAGCGAATGTCTTTACCACCGAAAGTTTGGATGTGATTAGTTTATAAGTTAAATCGTTGCTCGTAACTCCAATAAGCAATTCATGATCGTTTTTCAAATTTTACCCTGATCCGTGTCATTGTTCTTTGTTCAAGCATTGTTTGATCTAAATTAGTGTGCTTCTTTGGTCTTCTGAAATACCGCGACAAACAACTTATTTCAGCTCAACGCAAAACAGTTAGTCCGTCGGGAGGTGGTCCACTAACGATAATTTATACTCCGTGTGTAAGACTACCAGTGCACGAACATGGTACTCCGTCTTCGGATTTTTATGCCTTCTCTGGCCTGCTGTTTTTGTTGACAGTGTATTAATTTGCAGCGTCGCATCACCACAGGGTTTTCATATTCTGCATTGACATTGTTAACAAATGGATACTTTTGATTTTCTCCTAGCTCATCCTTAGTTTCTTGATCCATTCCCTTTTCCTAACTGATTATTTTTTCATCTTATAAGGTAAAGTATATTTTTCTATTTTCTTTATTTTATCGCCGCTGTGAACCTGACTAGATTTGCAAGAAATGCAATATATCCACCTCTGCTTGTGGTTGTGGGCTTTTTACATCATGGCATTGACTAGCTGGCCCAAGACAGTTTTAATATGAGCATTACTTTCAGGTCTACATAAAATGTTCAATGTAGTTTAATCACGGGCTAAGTATGACTAAAAATGTTGGTAATCTATGTATAAAAATGCACATACTGTTATTTCATAAGAAATTCAAATTCATAAAGTATTTTATTATCGTATTTTGTTGGCCAGTAAAACAGACCATGTTGAGCTGTAAGATGCATGTTCAGTCCCTGTTGCTACTCTGATAGCTTGTTGGTGATTTGCTGGTGACAGGAGCGACGAGAACCATATAATACACACAGAGTTCGTATCCTTTGTCGCTGTTGTTATGGCCATTAATACTGGAAAATTAATGACTCTGACTCGCCTTTTCTGAGAGTTTCTTTCGTTGATGATGCCAGTGCACTTTTCTTCAGGGATACTGACCTCCTGTGTGTGCATGTGCACGATGCTGAAGCACTTCACATGGGTCTAAATTTCGTGCTTAGTTTTTACTTCCTTTTTCATATACTTTGATTTC